TATTACTTCAAAGTTATTTCTTCAAATATTCATCATGTTTTCTTCTAAATCTACTTTGTTTAATAAACATTCCTTGCGTATGTTTAATGATTTTCAATTCATTAAATTAGAACGAATTTCTTTGCTTGAAAACAGAAATTGTTTTTGGTTCTTCAATATATGGAGTGTCTTAATTCAGAATACATTTTGTAAATTAGCGTCTGAACTCTGTTTATCAATATTGCATCATTTGTTGACTCCACAACTTGAAGAATACCAAATTAATGTCTGCAACAAACGATTATTGACAGACAAAGTGTGAAACAATTGAAGACTGTGCATCAGTAGGCATCAACTAAAATATCCAGAAAATTCAAGAATATTCTTTGTACAAATCTTTTTCTTTTATATGCCTTGTCCCTTTAGGACGTATGCAATCATGGCTCCCCACATCTTCCTGGCCTTTGTAGCTCTTAATAAGTTTTGTCTTTTTGTTATTTCTCCAAAACCTTTTTCTACCATCTATTTACTCAAGCTCATCAAGTATATTTTGCACAGCTTTCCTCTAAATCATATAATTTTAAATTTTTTTATAGATAGATATGAATAAAATGATATCATAAGATATGAATAGAATGAGATAGATAAATAGATAATTAAAAGAAAAAGTAATTTACTAAAGCAAAAATGTATAGAAAATGTAGTGATTGCGAAATCATCCACAGTAAATTTGCATACAGTTTATTAGAAGTATGGGATCTAAGGTTGCATATTGGGTGTATTAAAGCAGTATGCATGTTCATATATATATATAATTAGTGTAGAAGTAAAAAATTTTACTACAGACCATTTATTTTTGTTTTATAATAATTATTGTAGGGAAAGAAAATTGTCAATGTCTTTTGCATACGCCTGTTTACTTGTTCTAGTTCTGAAGTACATTAGGGTAATTAAGGACAAGAATGGTTAAAATGATCAATCTTAAATCAGCCTTGTGCTGAGTTGGAACAACCAAAGTAGTTACTTCATGAGTGGAGCTGCAAAACATGTCCACTCACTGTGTGTTGAAAAGTAGAAGGAGAAAAATTCTATTCTTCTGGAAAGGATAGAATCTTTCTTTTTCTAAGGATCATAAAATTTTTGCAGATGACCAAAAACTCTTTCCAGTTCCTTTATTACTAACATCATGGGAAAAAATGCCTTTCCATTTTCTTTTATTTATTCTTTATTGTTATTTTATTTATGTATTATTATTATATTTATTGATTTTATTTCATTTTTCGACATATTTCCTCTTTCTTGGCAGATCTTTTCTTATCCCAATGTTTTGTGGGGTGCTGAAAAACAAAAATGATAAAAACAAAAATAAAAGTATAGGGAAATTAGATTGGCTTGACTAAAAAAAAAAATTTTAAACTCAACTTTGTGTTTATATCCCCCCTTCCTACTATGCATATATAATTCCATCAATAAAAGCATTACTTTAGTCTGAAGTCGATTTCTAGGTCAAAATGTGTTATACAAAATTTTTCCATTTTGTCATTCAATTACCAAATAAATAGATATATAGATATGAACTTTCCTCTGTGGCACCTGAACTTTAAGAGCAGTACTAGATTCATGGCAAGATCTCATCTTTTTATAGTTGAAATGGCTAGATAGATAGATAGATAGATAGATAGATAGATAGATAGATAGATAGATAGATGGACAGAAAGATAATATAAAAGCATTTATGTAGGACAAATATAACAAGATCTAAAAAGCCTCTATCTATGAATATAATATAGATTTATGTTTAGACAACCATTCAAACTTTATCATAATACACAGGAACAAAACTGGCCATAACTTTGATATTACTAATGCCACCTGAATTTAAAGAACATAATTCTTTATGAAGAAAGTACTTTGGGTATCTATTAATAACAATATTACCAACTATAAACACTTCAAAAACATATTACATCACCAACCTTTATTGAATCCATTCTTAAAGAATTTAATGTATGTTTACCTAAATCAAACAGTATATATGTAAAAATATTCCTAAATCAAAATGCAAAAAAATGAATAAACATAGTGTCTACTCATCACACACACACCATACACACACATGAACACACACACACACAATTACGAATATACATTACCATCTGATTCCCACATAAACAATTAGATAGACATAGAATTATTATACACTTATATACATAAAGCAATATTTACTGTTTTTCAAGTAGGCTTGGAATCTGGTACTTTTTAAAAAACTTTGGATGAGCACATTGTCTCTCCTTGAATTTAGAATATCATAAATTATACTAACATTGATTTAACAAGTCAAATGCACAGGAAACATGATTGACCAATGAAAATCAAAAAACACGTAAAATTACCAGAATTTATTTTTTGTTTTTCTCCATATCTCATTTTCTAATGAAACTTAGATAAAAGGGAAAGATGTTAAAGTGATAAACATTGCCTATTTGTTCTTCATCTTATTCTGTTGAATTCCAATCCATATTTGATATGTATTGATCCCAACTGATAAATAGATAGATATGAACAGACTTAGATAGATAGATAGATAGATAGATAGATAGATAGATAGAAAGATAGATATAAACAGACTAAGATAGCTAGATAGATATGAACAGGGTAAAATAGATGAAAATGAATGTAAACAAACTGAGATTGATAGATGTAAATAGATAGATAGATAGAGATAGATAGATAGATAGATAGATAGATAGATGAATAGATGAAATGAACAGACTAAGATAGATAGATAGATAGATAGATAGATAGATAGATAGATAGATAGAAATGAACAGACTAAGATAGATAGATAGATAGATAGATAGATAGATAGATAGATAGATAGATGGATAAAAAAAATTGAGAAAGAGAAATCTATTGAAAGAGAGACCTAAGTAGTATTACCTTTATTGATTTGTTTGGTGATCAAATATGAAAATGGTTTGAACTAAGAATGATTGAAATAAATTAGTTCAGAACAAAAAGGATTTCTTTCAATGACATCATCAACAACAACAACAACAACAACAATAATAATAATAATAATAATAATAATAATAATAATAATAATAATAACAGGACCATTTCTCAAATGGCAGACACAAATGGAATCATGCCTAAAACATTTGAATTGCAATTGAATGTGTTGGTCTGAATCTGAGGTCTAATAGGTTACTTAGAAAGACACTAGAGATATAAAAGGACTTGTTGTCACTCAGTCTCCACCGATAACCACTAAACGTCCAATGTGGGAAATAATAATAATAATAATAATAATAATAAAATAATAATAATAATAATAATAATAATAATAATAATAATAATTCACTGCTTTTCATTTACTGATATTTTTTGTCCCATTTTATTTTTGTTGTTTTTCATCCTTTTTTTTACTTTTGGTTGCTGTTTTTTTGTTGTTACAAACTCTGTTCTGGAGCAATTTTACAAATAAATGTACATTTAATGTCAGATTTGAAGCTTCTCAAAAGATTAAAGTCAACATTATTGAGAAAAATCAATAATTTGTCTATTACTATGGAGACTGGAAAAGAATACACATGTCTATTTGTGTGATTTAGGGGATGTCTTTTCATACATATCAATATTTTATGAATGACTGTTTGTAAGGAAAATGTTTACCTTTTCCTTATGTATGTATCAATAAACCAATCAATTATATGGCTATCTTAATTATTTCATGTTTTTCACTCTTCACCTCTGATCACCTCCATCTACTTTCGTTTATCCATCTATCTCCCTCGCTCTCTCTCTCTCTGTCTATCCATGTATTAATCAATTTTGTTTCTATCTATCTATCCATCTATCTATCTATCTATCTATCTATCTATCTATCTATCTATCTATCTATTTCAGCCTGTTCTTATCTATCACATTTTATTCATATCTATCTATCTATCTATCTATCTATCTATCTATCTATCTATCTATCTATCTATTTATCTATCTGTGTGTTCACTATCTAGTTATCCATCTCAACCTGTTCATATCTATCACAGTTTATTCATATCTATCTCTCTATCCTTTTTCATCTATCTATCTATCTATCTATCTATCTATCTATCTATCTATCTATCTATCTATCTATGCCTTTCCATCTATCTATCTATCTATCTATCTATCTATCTATCTATCTATCTATCTATCTATCTGTGTGTTCACTATCTAGTTATCCATCTCAACCTGTTCATATCTGTCACAGTTTATTCATATCTATCTCTCTATCCTTTTTCATCTATCTATCTATCTATCTATCTATCTATCTATCTATCTATCTATCTATCAGTGTGCTTGTTTGTTGAAATAATTGTGTATTTCTAAGTTATCAGAATGGGAATTCTCATAAGTATTTCAAATAGTGATTTGTAATATTTAAAATTTCTACCCATAGTTGTGGACAGTACAGTACAATTCAGTGTTTTTTAATTGATTGCTAAACTACATAGTTTTCTGTTTGATAGGTGCTTGCAAATAAAGTTTCTAACAATAAATATATTTGTAAAATCTTTCATAATTTAGTAGTATAAATAATTATTCTACTTACACGAGTCTTTTTTTTATGTATCTGTCTAGATATATCAATCAATTGATCTGTATATCTTTATATTTGCCACTCATTCGTTCAATAATTTAACAATATTCCAACCAATAATACCTACTCCTCATTTTAATCTATTGATGGTCAAACAATATGGCTGCCAAAATCTCTACTATACAGCATTCATTAATCAGTATCTTATTTTACTTCCATACCCACTTCCATACAGAAAACATTTCTTTATAATTTTTCTTATTATTTGTACCACTTTTTTTAAACACTTTCTGTAATCAGTGAACCCAGGAGAGGATAAAAATCTTAAAATGTTTCACTGATAATTTTTCATTTTGATTTGGTTTTATTTTACTTCATATTTATTTTATGCTCTTCACAAATGGAGAGCTCTTCAATCAATTTAGAGACAGCCATATTAGATAAGACAAAAAAATATATCATCAAGAAAAAGCTGGTAAAGAGAGAGAAGGAATAGAAACAGAAATGAAATGAATTTCTCTGGAAACTTAGCAGTGGAGAATAACAAGAAAAAAATACACTGAAATATGAGAAAAAGCATCGAATTAAAATTAAGAATAGACAAAAAACAGGGAGAGAAATTTTTCAAAATCATTGTTGGTTGTTCATCTCGTGGGAAGAGAAGAAGGGAAAAGTATTTCTTTTCTTAATGAATGATATTTTAGAAGATCTGTGCTTTTTTTGTAACTTTTCTTCCTCATAATGTCAAATATTGTATTAGATTTCCTTCAAATATTTTCAACCACTTACCAAGATTAATAAACAGGTATGCACAATGAATAATCACTCTAGTGTGGCAGACATTTCTATGGTTAGAGTATTGGACTGGTTATTAAAAGATTGTGTCTTCTATTGTTCAAACTCAATTAAGTTTATTTATATATTCCTTTTTTTTAAAAAGAAGAGCATTTGAGAAAAAAAAAAAAAGAATAGAGGGACCCAAGGTTGGATGATTGGGTTGTACCAATATAAAAAATGGGGTGAGTCTATTCACAACATTTTGTCAATTATACACTCTGACCTTCATCAGGTGATAGTTTTTGGAATTTCGAACAAAGTTGGTAAATTGTTCTAATTCCACATGCCATGCCTTTGCATATCTTGGTTTTGTTCAGGTGATATTTGTTGGAATTTAGAACCAAAGGATCTGATCCATTAGGCGAATAAGTAGGGAAATCCATGATTCGAGTAAGAAGCTAAGCAACATAAAAATTGGAAATCTGAAAAAAATATTTGCAGATGAGTGTAGAGAGAGAACCATTTCTATATTGTCAGAAATCTTGTCCAATACACTGCAGTCCTGAGAAACGGTAGAGCGGTAACAGAAGAAGAGAAAGATAACAAAGAGATATAATAGAAGTCGAAAGCACAAGAAAGAATAATCTGTGGATGCAAGCGACAATTCCATTGCCATTAAGCAGATTTTCCTAGATATAAACTCCAAGGCCATGAATATGCATTACAGAATTTTTATGGTAGAGAGGAAGGGAGGCTGGAATGGAGAATTATATTCGTAGCAATGAAAGAATTTTAATTGTTTTCACAATGTGCAAAGATATCAGATCATTTCAAGAGAAAACATTCAGATTGGAATGGATACCACAAATATGAAAGAAAGAATGGGTTGAAATCTCAATATTTAGCAATTATTCAAATATATATATATATATATATATATATATATATATATATATAAGGGAGAGGTTATAGTAGTTCCAATGAGAGAAGAGTGTGTATATTAAAAGAAGAGAGAAACCGCAAAAGTTTTTGGTTGTAATGTGGATTTTTAAAAAAATATTATGCTTTATTTTCCATAATTTTGCTACACGAGTTTCCAGTCTTGTGACCATCATCAGGCAAAAGGTGGAGATTTCCACATATTATTAAAAATAATTAATTTTTTTATTTTCTAAAGTAAAAAGAAAAATGATAAGAAACTGTATCCACTAAAAATAAAGTTTAAAGTGATAAAAAGAAAAGGTTGTACAATTAACATTTTTGTGAAAAAATATATATATTTCTTAGTAATTACATTAATGTATATTTGGGCACCAACCTTTCTTTTAAACATCTTTCATTAAATATGACAGACAAAGAAAATTTTTAAAAAATTTTTTATTTAGTTTTCCCAGCGTTCATACATTTTTTTTCATTTGGTGGGAGCGAGGAAATACAAAAACTGTCCATATTGTACATTGTCCTAAGTACTTTCGACCATCTCCATAGCCATTTTCAAGGGGGTTTCTTTTCATGTTTTGATTGATTGAGATGTATTTTTTGTGTGGTTTTCCATACTAGTAGGAATGTTTATCCCAAACCTTCATATGTTGAGTATGATAGGAATTTGAGTGAGCATCTTTCTATTTTTAAAAAAATTTCAACATGTTACTCCCATTATTAAACAAAGTGAGGTCAAGAGTGGGAGAGAAGTGATTGATATACAGGGCATCTTGTATAGAAAAATGTTTTCCGTAATTTGATTTACATAGAATTTTAGTGTTTTTGATGAGAATTTTTCTTAATAATTAGTGTACACATTCTGTACATATTACTGGCAGTAGATATCAAATGTAAATACATAATGTTATAATTTAATTCTTAATTTTTTTTAAATAATTGGTTGATATTTTTAAATAGTTTACTGCACAATTTCCACATTAACAGATAGTTCAAAGAGAACAATAGAGAATTGCTTGCAGCTGACTCTATTAAGAGCAATCATAGATGATTGTTCAAATCTGCATCCAATACAGAGTCTGTCTATATTTCTGAGATGAGGTATTATGTACAGTATTTACATTAGTCGGACTATTGTCCTCATCTTTGTCGCCATATTTATCACAACGTTTCGGCCTTTGTATGCTCCGGCCTTCTTCATGGCACAGTGGATAAAGGCGTTGGTTAGATCCAAAGAAGGTGAGTTCAATTCCTGGTTAAGGCAGTAGAGAACTTTCAGAGGGAAAATTAGCAGGAGATAACTGATAACTGACATCCATCAAACATGACACGTGGAACTAGAACAGTCTACCCCAGTGATCGAAATAAAGGGTTCAGTTCGAAATTCCAACCACCTGAAGAAGGCCGGAGCGTACAACGGCCGAAACGTTGTGACAAATATGGCAACAAAGATGAGGACAATAGTACGACTAATGTAAATACTGCATCCAATACACTTAAAAATTCCTTTTCAATAGATTGCAACATGTATGATTCCAAATTCTCCATAGACAGCGAATTTCTTCAAATTGTCTTTATAATATTTAGCTATAAAAATGTCCTCTTACATTGGACCTGAGCAACTGATAAGCATGCAGATGATTTTATAAGGTTTTTATTCCTTTTATATTTTACAAACCAATTACATTTTTATTTGATATAGGAGGTCAACTTCATTACACTTGCTATCAGGCAAACCGACACCTTGACTAGTCTGCCACTTATTTTTGCCCTGAATAACAATATAAGCTTGGTCAAGGTTTTTTTTTTTATCTTCATAAATTAAATAAAGCTATTTTCATATTCACTGACCTTGTAATGGCAAATAACATGTCTGAAAACATGCTACATTTTGAACCAAGATCATAAAGACTCATTTTGAGCAGAGAATTGAGAATCTTTGTCATTTGCTTGATTTGACAGTGCCAGCTTAGAAACATATCCCCTTTGGTATTAAGAGATTTAGGGTATAAGGAAAAGTCGGCCATCAGAGAAAAGATTGACATGGACAGCCAAAAGGATTAAATGTAACGTTTTCTTTTATTGTTTTTGTTTGTTTGTTTGTGTGTGTGTGTGTGTGAGTGTGTGTGTGTGTGTGTGTGTGTGAGTGTATGTTTGTGCATGTCTATGTGCATATATATACATGCAAAATTCAGAGGAGCAGGACTTATATATAACCTAACAGAAAACTTATGGATTTGACATGATTTAAAGATTTGAAGAAATCTCTGTGTTTCAATATATATATATATATATATATATATATATATATATATATATTCATCCACATACAAGCCTGTTTCACTGTATCACAGCTCATCAGTGTGGCCAGACATCCAGTTGCTTCAATATATATACGACAGAAAGTATCTATTTAATAATAAAAACTTTAAAGGCTAAGTGTTGTAAAATATACCTCTGCAAATGAAATTTATGTAAGCAATTCAATGTAAATACAAGTAATAATATGTAGTGAGTTTAATTTTAACAGATCCCCAAATGAGGCTCATGGTAGGTAATGGGTTAAGTAAGGAAAAAAAACAAAAACAGACGGATAGAAGGTGTATGAATGCATGTGCATATGTATATGTGTGTGTGGGAAAACATTATTCTGTGAACAAAATAGATGAATGATTTATAAGTTGAGACTGCCACTTGGAAAAAAATTCACTACACAATTCCAACATTGAATACAGTGACCAATTACATACATATACATGCAATGACACACATATACGCCCAGTCCTGCACTGTTCATATATGTTTATATTTGTGTGAGCTGCAATGCATTTATGTGTGTGTATGTGTGTCTGCGTATGTATGAGTGGCGTCTCAACAACAATTTTTCCTCCCGCTACCATAAAACACTGATATGCATAACCATAAATAAATCCAAAATTTCAAAATTAAACAGTTTGTCTGATGATCACAAAGGGTGTGAAACCCAGGGTTACAAATTCATCAATCAATCCATATATATATATATATATATATATATATATATATATATATAATAATAATGGACTCTCCTGTCGTTTTCGATGTATGAGGATCTGACAGCTTATTGATTCAGTTATGAAAGTTTGTGCGATAATCTTAAGTGGCATTTAAGACCCGCTAGTGATTTACAAAGGAGGCCACATATGGAGCAAGTATGAGGATTGTGAAATGAGATCACTGTTAGATTAATAAGAACAAATCAAGGTAAACCACCAGAAAACCCACACAAACTGTATGAAAAACTGGAAAATGTTTCCCATCAATTAAAACATCCTCTTACATATAAAAAATATATATATCTTTTTCCCATACCTATATAAATCTTGATCAAATAATATTATTTTCATAGCAACCCAAAACCATATTCTCTTACTTGTATGAAAATATACAATCAAAAATTATGATCAAGTAAAATTTTTATATTCACCCAAAGCAAGGTCATAATGCCACTAAGACTCAATTGGAGTGAAAGAAAATGAGAAGCCTTTACAAAGAACTGAAAACTTAATCTTAAACAGGAATCAAGTGATAAACCTCTACTCCTGTTCAAGAGACCAGAAACGAGTGTGAATCTATCTACTTCTTGAAGTCTAACTTGGTTAAAAAAATTACAACTATGTTTTAACGTGTTGAGCCTAATTGGCTAAACAAAAGTGAATTCCATTGAAACGCAGTGAATAAACAAAGTACCAAGTGAAGTCAGACTGAGCTGACCTATAATGTCAGAAACTAATCCATTATTGAAGCATTGTCTTTCTTTTGATATTTGATCCAGCTCTTCCACTTCAACTCAACAGATCCCTGTCTCGGCAATTGGTGTACTGTATAATGCAGGATCAATAGAGCCAAAGGAAATGCCATTCAAATTGCAACAAAGAAAAAGAATTTGACAGGAGGAAAACAGCAATTGCTGACAAGAGAAACATCTTTGCAGCATTTTTGTATTCTCTAAAGACAAGTGATGCTATGAAATATGCTTAGAAATATGTCCAAGAGACAGAAGTAAAAAGAAATCAATGATGAATGTAAAGACAGATAAAAACAGCTTGAGATACATACATACATACATACATAGATACATAGATAGATACATAAACAGAGACTAAGATAGTCACAGACTGAGATAGATACATGCATACATACATACAGACTGAGATAGATAGATAGATAGATAGATAGATAGATAGATGGATGGATGCAGACTGAGATAGACAGATACATACATAAATACATACATAGATACATAAATATATAGATAGATACATAGAGACTGAGATAAATAGATAGATACAGACTGAGATAGACACTAACAGATAGAGATAGATTTACAAAATTTACAAAATCTTATTCTTAAAACACTTTTTTAGGAGAACAGATTTCTCAAGTCAAGTAGTTTTTACCCATCTTATCAGTATTTACCCCTCTTATCAGTATTTACCCCTCTTATCAGTATTGATGGGGTTTCCCCTATTTATCAGTAAACTCTTTGTCATTATTTTCTCTTTCAGTTACAAGTGGTTTTCCTTTCAAACTTTTAGTTTTTATTTGAAAGTGGTGTGAACATTAAATATCTTGGTTATGTCATTATTTTCTCTTTTTGAGTTACAAGTGCTATCCATTTTAATTGTTGCTGCTGTTGGTAGTCCTCAAGTGATGTGGTTTCTGTTATTTGGTACATTTCTTTATTTGAAGTAGTGCAGAACATTAATATCTTGATTATGTCATTATTTTCTTTCAGTTACATGACTATCCATTTTAATTGTTGCTGCTGTTGGTATCCCATTTTAATTTGTTGCATTAATATCTTGATTATGTCATTATTTTCCTTTCAATGTACTATCCATTTTAATTGTTGCTGCTGTTTCTGTGATTGGTTTTGATACAGTTCTTTATTTGAAGTAGTGCAGAACGTTAATATCTTGATTATGTCATTATTTTCTCTTTCAGTTACATGTGCTATCCATTTTAATTGTTGCTGCTGTTGGTAGTCCTCAAGTGATGTGGTTTCTGTTATTTGGTACAGTTCTTTATTTGAAGTAGTGCAGAACGTTAATATCTTGATTATGTCATTATTTTTCTCTTTCAGTTACATGTGCTATCCTTTTTTAATTATTTGCTGCTGTTGGTAGTCCTCAAGTGATGTGGTTTCTGTTATTTGGTACAGTTCTTTATTTGAAGTAGTGCAGAACATTAATATCTTGATTATGTCATTATTTTCTCTTTCAGTTACATGTGCTATCCATTTTAATTATTTGCTGCTGTTGGTAGTCCTCAAGTGATGTGGTTTCAGTTCTTTATTTGGTACAGTTCTTTATTTGAATGCTATCCATTTTAAGTAGCAGAACGTTCTTTAATATCTTGATTATGTCATTATTTTCTCTTTCAGTTACATGTGCTATCCATTTTAATTGTTGCTGCTGTTGGTAGTCCTCAAGTGATGTGGTTTCTGTTATTTGGTACAGTTCTTTATTTGAAGTAGTGCAGAACGTTAATATCTTGATTATGTCATTATTTTCTCTTTGAGTTACATGTGCTATCCATTTTAATTGTTGCTGCTGTTGGTAGTCCTCAAGTGATGTGGTTTCTGTTATTTGTACAGTTCTTTATTTGAAGTAGTGCAGAACGTTAATATCTTGATTATGTCATTATTTTTCTCTTTCAGTTACATGTGCTATCCATTTTAATTGTTGCTGCTGTTGGTAGTCCTCAAGTGATGTGGTTTCTGTTATTTGGTACAGTTCTTTATTTGAAGTAGTGCAGAACGTTAATATCTTGATTATGTCATTATTTTTCTTTCAGTTACATGTACTATCCATTTTAATTGTTGCTGCTGTTGGTAGTCCTCAAGTGATGTGGTTTCTGTTATTTGGTACAGTTCTTTATTTGAAGTAGTGCAGAACGATTAATATCTTGATTATGTCATTATTTTCAGTTCTTTGTTTTTCAGTTACATACATGCTATCCATTTTAATGTTGGTAGTCCTCAAGTGATGTGGTTTCTGTTATTTGGTACAGTTCTTCATTTGATAGTGTGAACATTAATATCTGTCATTATTTTCTCTTTCAGTTACATGTGCTATCCATTTTTTTATTTGCTGTTGGTAGTCCTCAAGATGTGGTTTCTGTTAATATCTTTATTTGAATTAGTGAACATTAATATCTTGATTATGTTTTTTTCTCTTTCAGTTACATGTGCTATCCATTTTAATTATTTGCTGCTGTTGGTAGTCCTCAAGTGATGTGGTTTCTGTTATTTGGTACAGTTCTTTATTATGTTTATTTTCTCTTTTCAGTTACATGTGCTATCCATTTAATTATTTGCTGCTGTTGGTAGTCCTCAAGTGATGTGGTTTCTGTTAATACTGTTCTTTATTTGAATTAGTGAACATTAATATCTTGATTATGTCATTATTTTCTCTTTGAGTTATATGTGCTATCCATTTTAATTGTTGCTGCTGTTGGTAGTCCTCAAGTGATGTGGTTTCTGTTATTTGGTACAGTTCTTTATTTGAATTAGTGCAGAACATTAATATCTTGATTATGTCATTATTTTCTCTTTGAGTTATATGTGCTATCCATTTTAATTGTTGCTGCTGTTGGTAGTCCTCAAGTGATGTGGTTTCTGTTATTTGGTACAGTTCTTTTTATTTGAAGTATCTTGATTATGTCAGTATTTTCTCTTTCAGTTACAGATCCATTTTAATATCTTGATTAGTCCTCATTATTTTTCTGTTCTTTGTTTTTCAGAAGTTATCTTTTGCATTATCCATTTTAATTGTTCCATTTTAATTGTTGCTGCTGTTGGTAGTCCTCAAGTGATGTGGTTTCTGTTATTTGGTACATTTCTTTATTTGAAGTAGTGCAGAACATTAATATCTTGATTATGTCATTATTTTCTCTTTCAGTTACATGTGCTATCCATTTTTAATTGTTGCTGCTGTTGGTAGTCCTCAAGTGATGTGGTTTCTGTTATTTGGTACAGTTCTTTATTTGAAGTAGTGCAGAACGTTAATATCTTGATTATGTCATTATTTTCTCTTTGAGTTACATGTGCTATCCATTTTAATTGTTGCTGCTGTTGGTAGTCCTCAAGTGATGTGGTTTCTGTTATTTGGTACAGTTCTTTATTTGAATTAGTGCAGAACATTAATATCTTGATTATGTCATTATTTTCTCTTTCAGTTACATGTGCTATCCATTTTAATTGTTGCTGCTGTTGGTAGTCCTCAAGTGATGTGGTTTCTGTTATTTGGTACAGTTCTTTTTTGCAAACATTAATATCTTGATTGATTCTATAACTTCTTTTTTTGAAATATTGCAGAACATGTAGTCCATTCAATGTTCATTGAAGTTTCTGAAGAGTTCTCTGATTCTATAAGCCTCATTCAATGTTCAGGCTTTACTTGCTCAAACTCTTTTACAATTGACAATCAGCCAATTTAGATATTTCTGAATTACTGCCTGACAATTTAGATATTTCTGAATAGCCTTTGGACCATGCACAACATCTATTTGAAAGTTTTGATCTGATGAGACTATTTAAATACATGACTTGAGTTTTCAGGTTGATGTTTGAATTTCATAACAATTTGTGAGGTTGGGTGAAACTACCTCTGACACAGCCTATTCTGTGTTTAATTTCCTTTTTTTCTATATACTAAATTTGCTATAACTAATCCATATGTCGAGGTATCTGAAGTGTTTAGTATTTACTAATTCCAGATCCTATATTTTTATGATGGATTCAGATAAGTTGCCATCACTGCTTTCATTCCATTTCCAGATAGATAGATAGATAGATAGATAGATATGAATATACTGGAATAGATAGATAGATAGATAGATAGATAGATAGATAGATATGAATATACTGAGATAGATAGATAGATAGATATGAATAGATAGATAGATAGATAGATAGATAGAAACAAACAAACAGTCCTTAACAAATCTTAACATACCAAGATAGATATTTACTAAAGTTTATTGTCTACAATGAACACAAATTAGTAGTAACTGATGAGAAAACTATTTTGTTAACATTTTCTCCATACTCAGGCACTTGATTCAATATTTATAGAGCACAAGACCCAATAACAGGAACTGATATGAGAAGGTTAACTTCCAAGGCAGGTTATGGAAATCATCTTTGGAAATTCTGGTTTACATATAGCTTGAATACCATCTCCTTTGGTTCAACAGGTGAGAGCTGTGGAAGAAAGGTTTATTCTCCCATTTGTATTTTCTCCCATTATGGGCATTATTTTATCCATGATATAATAATATGGTATTACATGGACTGAATGAAATGGCTAAAAAGGAAAAAGGTATGACAAACATGCTTTGTTCTCAGAGAGATTTTTATACCACTAAAGCATAGACAATATATATATATATATATATATATATATATATATATATATATATATATATATATATATATATATATATACACACAGGTCCAATGCAGAGAAAATATATCACATATATCTGCACAACAAATTAAGATGTAAGGATAAAAAGAAAAGGAAATGTCATATATAATATGGAGATTCTGCTATGATTTCTGGAGAAGACATGTTTAGGACTCCAGATTCAAATGAGCTAGATTCATCTACTCTGTCCCAGGTGAGGACATATTCCCTGTAGGGGAAACAGTGAGCCTTGGTTTTTCCCTGAGCTAGAGTTTCTTTCTATATCTGCGAAAGATATATTCCCAAATGTAAATGGCACCATAGTTTTGTAAGCTGTAGCATTTGCTGGAAGAAGCAGATTTAGCCTCAGCCCAGCCCTCTTGGCCCAGGCTAAAAAAGCAACTGCTCAGTTTGGCTGTCTTAAACAAACTGCATGACTGGCCACTCTCGTCACTGTATGAAGTGACATCACTAAGCAGCCATCATGTAACCCATGTGTGTTATTTCCAACAAAGGGAGATAATCTGCTTCTGTATCTATACAATGATAGCTATTGATATACTCTGAAAGTTTATATTTTATTTGCTTTTATACTGTGTTTCATGTATTTTTGTTTAATTTGTTCAAAAAGAAAGAATATTTCTTTTCTATCTTCAATGTGCCTTAGCTGTATTCTTTTGTTAATCTTAAATTTGTTATCCACCAACTTTCCAATTGCCTTAGTTGAATGAGGGTTATAAATTTAGCTAGGTAAATTTCATTTCTTCAGTCACCAGTTTGGCATCTTCAGAATTTGTTTGTTTGTTTAAAACTTAACGACCCTTCGATCAGCAAGTGATCATTTAAGGTCAAACAGTTTTTTTTGTTTTTTTTTCTTTTTCTTTAAATAAGGTTGAAATGCTTTCAAAAAGACTTTCCTTTTCCTTTCCTTCTTTTTCGATGTTGTCTTGCTTTTTGTTTTAAAAAATTCACTGTTTTCAGAGGTGCGTTGTTCTTTGAAGATTTCTCACCTGGCAAGTATCAATGTTTCCCCTTTCATCATCAAAATATTTGACCAACTATTATTTTTTCTTTAACTTTTCTACATGTAGGTTATATTCTTTAAGGATGAGAATATTGATGATATCCTCTCTGATCATCTTTCTGCTAGCATTCATATTTACAGCAACTTCAATATTCACCAAAAAGTGTGGTTAGTCCACTCAATCAGAACCAATGAAGACGGAAGATACTATCATGACTTCATTTTCACACAAACCTCTAAGACCTCTTTCTCACAACTTTCCCTGAGAAATGCTCCACTGAAGTGTTGCCTCCCTTGAGTTCTTTTGACCACTCATTGATCGATGTTAAAATTAATTCCAAACTGAAAACATCTCCTGATTTACCATTTCACAGGATGATCTTTCAGTATGACAAAGCTAATGGAAACAGCTTCAGATCTTACTTTGCAAAAACTCCCCACTCATCTTGGTTTAAACTAGTTTCCCTTATCTCTGAATGTATCCTATAAGGCATGGATAATTTTATCCCAGAGAAAAATTAACAACAGAAATCAAATAGACAACCTTAGTTAATGTCAGAATGTGTGACATCCATAGCCTAACATAACCACTATTACCATCTCGACCACAGAAAATGGTGTAGTGGGATTCCTGCCAAATTCCAGACTGCTGGTAATCATTGTAAGAGAACTCTAGAAAACCCAGTCAGTCCAAGCCAAGATTGAAAATAAAAAAAAACAACTTCTGCAAGGGTTTCATAGGCTGTAGAAACCAAATCAATCAATGAATTCTTACCAAATTCTATGGCATTGAAATTGTGCAATCAAAAATAAGACGAAATAAAAAACTAAAAAGACATTATTTTGAATCAATACTTGATGTGATCAATTTATTTCTCTTTTATTTTATTTTATTTTTGCTACTGTTTGCCATCTTGATAACTGTGACTTCATGAGATTTGCACTGACCATCAATGGAATGTTTTTATTATACACTAACGGTATGCAGTTTTTCGATTCTGTCTTTTTGCTTGGCCATTGTTTTTTGACTTTCTTTTAATTACATTCCTCAAGTGTTCATTTTGATTTAAATATGGTGACATGCTTAGCCAATTGAACACTTTTAACTTTTTGAGTGAAGACAACTTGTTTTTTCTTTCCTGAACAAGTCAATAAAAGCCACTAGATTGCACAGGGTTGTTATATTAAGTGCATGATGGTCGAACAAAGAAGAAACAATGAAGGCTTAAAGAAATAAACAACTGCATTAAAGTAAAATGCAACAATGATGAATTGGTGGAAATATCCCTCGTTGAAAGATAAGTGAAGTAATAAAAGGTGTCGGCAGAGGGATACTTACTGTGGCAATGACCTTTGAGAAGTCTTTTGGAGATTGGAGGTCGCTTTCCAACAAATGTTGTGAATCAGTCCAAGATGCTGTCTGACTCCAAAATTGTTGCTTTGATGTATTTCCTTTCTTAGGCTCAAATCAGCTTGAGTTTTCATTTTATATCTTTAGGTAGGAGTGAGTATTATTGGGTGGAAATTTTGGATTGTACTGCTTATTTTTTTCTTTGAGAGTGTGAGTAAAAATGGAAGCTATGTGCAGAGCATATGCAGTTGATGGAATTTTAGTAAAGTTTCTGTTGTTCGCTGCATTCACATCCGGCTAGTTGTGGAAATTAGTGCAGCATGAATCAGAAGAAGATTTTAGGAAGAATGTAACAATTGCCTTTAACATCATGTTATAACGACCGTGCTAATGTTATAATAAGCATATGGTGGCAGAACAAAGAAAAAAAATGGAAGGTTTAAAGAAACAAACAATTGTACAGGGTGTTTCAAAAAATTTGATATCCTTTGAGATGTAAATATCGCAGAAAGTACATGATTAAGGCAAATGAAATTAAAAAGTATTAATGTTGAAGATCATAAGATTTATTCTTCCAAATCTGAATGAGAAATTCAAAAGCATGTGGATTATGTGAACACACAAAACGCCTTTTCTCTTCTAGTAAATAGCATACCTGTAAAGAAAAAGATTAAAGATTAAAGAACATAAAAATAAAAATAAGAAAAACACAAAAACATAAAGACATAAAAACATAAAACAAACATTAAACATAAAGATGCTATTAAAATTTGAAGTCATTTGAAGGAGATCTAACAAAGTTATTAGATTGCAAAATGATATCAAATTTTTTGAAACACCCTGTATTAACGTAAAATATAACAAATTATAAATCAGTGTGGATGTCTCTCACTAAAAAACGTAGAGTTGTAAAAGGCGCTTGCTGAGGCATACAGAAGGAGATGGAGGATTAGTTGTGAATTACTGAGGTAACGGGCCTTGGTGAGCTGTCTCTTGAAGATAGGAGGTCACATTCCAACAAAGTCTGTGAACCAAGATTGCATCCAACTCCCAAAATGTCACTTTGATTAGTTTTTATATCCTTTCTTATGCTCAAATCAACTTCTGTTTTTATTTTGTTTAGATGGGAGTGTGTGGAAATTCTGGATGGTACTGCTTAATTTTTCTTTGAGGGTTTGAGTAAAAACAGAAGATATGCATGGAGCCTTCCACAGTTGATAGAATTTTAGTTCAGTTTTGGGCATTCAGCCATTGTTAGAAATTAATGTAGCATGAATCATAAGAAGGTCTTGTTTTAGAAAGTATATAACAGGGTTTCTGGGAATGAGAGAAACAGATAGGACAATAAAAGAACAGAATTTTGAGGCGACAGATGATGATGACTAACAGTTGAATCTTTGATGATCATAGTTGATAAGAAATTTGGAAGGTGGAAGAAAGTTCCACATGCGATAAGTGTGGGAGAAGAAACTATGAGCATAGGAATTAAGGCTTACAACTAGAAATTTCAAGAGGGAAATTGTGGGACTTAACTGCTAATCTAGTATTGTGCTTAACTTCAAGAAGTCAAGGTACAAAGAGGAATTCTCATCATAACAATTACACTGAAAATATTTATAGAAAAGGCACACAGAGGCTACATTTCATTGCTATGTTACAAATCTACCTATGTATCTATCTATCGCAGTCTGTTCATATATATCTCAGTCTGTTCATATCTATTTATCTATCCATCTATCTTTGTTCATATCTATCTATCTGTCTCACTGTTCATATCTATCTTAGTCTGTTCATATCTATCTATCTATCTATCTATCTATCTATCTATCTATCTATCTATCTATCTATCTCAGTCTGTTCATGTATATCTCAGTCTGTTCATATCTATTTATCTATCCATCTGTCTTTGTTTGTATCTATCTGTCTCACTGTTCATATCTATCTTTGTTTATATCTATCTATCTATCTATCTATCTATCTATCTCAGTCTGTTCATATATATCTCAGTCTGTTCATTTTATCTATCCTCTATCTTTGTTCATATCTATCTGTCTCTGTTTATATCTATTTAGTTATTCATCATCTATCTATTATCTATCATCTATCTATCTATCCTCAGTCTGTTCATTTATATCTCAGTCTGTTTATTTATCTATCTATCTTTGTTCATATCTACCTGTCTCACTGTTTATATCTATCTTAGTCTGTTCATATCTATCTATCTATCTATCTATCTATCTATCTCAGTCTGTTCATTTATATCTCAGTCTGTTCATATCTATTTATCTATCCATCTATCTTTGTTCATATCTATCTGTCTCACTGTTTATATCTATCTTAGTCTGTTCATATCTATCTATCTATCTATCTATCTATCTATCTATCTATCTCAGTCTGTTCATTTATATCTCAGTCTGTTCATATCTATTTATCTATCCATCTATCTTTGTTATCTATCCTGTTTATATCTATCTTTGTTCATATCTACAGTCTGTTCATTTATATCTCAGTCTGTTCATTTCTATTTATCTATCCATCTATCTTTGTTCTTATCTGTCTCTGTTTTATATCTATCTTAGTCTGTTCATATCTATCTATCTATCTATCTATCTATCTATCTATCTATCTCAGTCTGTTCATTTATATCTCAGTCTGTTCATATCTATTTATCTATCCATCTATCTTTGTTCATATATATCTGTCTCACTGTTTATATCTATCTTAGTCTGTTCATATCTATCTATCTATCTATCTATCTATCTATCTATCTATCTATCTATCTCAGTCTGTTCATTTATCTATCCATCTATCTTTGTTCATATCTATCTGTCTCACTGTTTATATCTATCTTAGTCTGTTCATATCTATCTATCTATCTATCTATCTATCTATCTATCTATCTATCTATCTATCTCAGTCTGTTCATTTATATCTCAGTCTGTTCATATCTATTTATCTATCCATCTATCTTTGTTCATATCTATCTGTCTCACTGTTTATATCTATCTTATTCTGTTCATATCTATCTATCTATCTAATCTATCTATCTATCTATCTATCTCAGTCTGTTCATTTAAACTGTTGAATCTATTTATCTATCCATCTATCTTTGTTCATAACTGTTTATATCATAAAAAAAATTTCTATCTATCATTCATATCTATACTATCTTATTGTTCATATCTCTACCTAGTGTTCTGGGGTCCACCCTGAAAAAAATTAGGATCCCAGCTATGGGCAATATGAATTTTAAACCGGGGTTAAAACTTGAAAACATAAAAATACATAAGAAAAAATTTCCAGTAATACATTTTCATAGTAAAAATAAAAAAAAAATTAACCACAATATATTTTTGGAAAAAAAAATTACCAATGTTTAAAAGAGAATCAAAGTTTGGCATTAAATGACTAATAAGGAATTCATATGCAATTAAATAAAAAACAAATAATTCGACCTGAGTTCAAGTCACATCATAGTCAATTGGACAAGTTGGATGACTTTTTGATAATTAGTATATGATTACAACATATGACTCCATAGGAATGTGTCTGGAAACAATAGCATAATTTGAACTAAGCCTTGAGTGTGAAATTGGGAAGGCAAAAATGTTTGATTGTTGTCCTAGAATGAAATCCCAATTTATTATGGGCATAGTGTTTGTGTTCAAAATATTGATCATGCCAGATTATATGCTCTCTCCCAGAAACTGTGACTATGATCCATTCAGCAGATTGCTATAAAAACCACAGGTTCACTTTGTGGATGTTGAATAAATGCAAATGTGCCTGAGCAAATGTTTGCAATAGATATTAGCTAAAAATTGGCATAATTGTAAAATGAGTAGCCATTATTATTAGTAGTAGTAGTAGTAGAAGTAGTAGTAGTAGTAGTAGTAGTAGTATTAGATAAACAAACCAAAGTATTCGGTAGGTTTGGGGTCGATTTTGACCCCAAACCTACCGAATGAATAAAGAAAATAAAAATGAAAACCAAAACTAATAAATCAAAACTAAAAAACTAAAAAAGGAAACATAAACTGAGAAGAAAAGTATCAAAGATAGACATTTTACCTAAAGAGTAAAAGACAGTGCTCTATGTCTAAGTGATCAAGACAGAACAAATATGCTACAGTGACACTACTCAAAAAGAGAAAATGTTCATTTACATATATATATATATATATATATATATATATATGAGATAAGAATATATAAATTTTTATATATCAAGAACAATATTGGAGGAAAAACATATGCCAAAGTGTTAAAAGTTTTTGTTTCATCCTTCAGTCTGATGAAGTCACAAAGGCTGAAACACATCACACAAAACTTTTTTCACTTTTTGTCATATATATATATATATATATATATATATATATATATATATATATATATATATATATATATATATATATATATATATATATATATATATATATATATATATATATATATATATATATATATATATATATATATATATATATATATATATATATATATATATATATATATATATATATAATGTATATATATCATATACATACACATACATACATACATACATACATATGTATATATATTAGGTGACTGTAAAAAGTTCATGTGCACTTTAAAGTTATAAATTTTTTAAAGTGCACACAAACTTTATGGACATCCTGTATATATGTGTGTCTGTGTGTTTTAGCTCACCAAATTCCAAACAGAATAGTTATTCCCTATGGTTTATAAACCATTTTACAGATTATTTAAAGCCAAAAAATATTTTAGATTTTAAGAATTTTTGTGAAGATAATAAATGATAAAAGTCTTATTAATTAACTCAGAGCTGGGAGGAGAAATGTGGTTTCATACTTTTCGCAAAGATATTTACTCATTGGGGAATATAATTAAGCCATCCATTACACCTGTCACACATCCAATCTTAGGGTATTCCCAAGCAGTCACTCTTGTAGGTACTGATCAGGCTTGAGGTTGCTTAACTTTGGTGATTATATAGGTCCTGATGTTTCAACATGATGTGTCCATAAGCCAGAGGACTGGGATTTGATTGTAAATCTAAATGCTAAGCACAAAATAATTTAGAATGTTATTTGTTTTATTCCTACTGAAGGAAAATTCAAATAAAATATCTATTTGTTTACACAAAAGTTATTTAAAATCTTTTTAAATAATTCATCTATTTCTTGTTTACAAAAAAAACCCTAATATATATATATGGCTTCAGTTACAATCATTGAGAACTATGAGTAAAACTGCTTGTTTCTAAATTAGAAATTAATTTTTAACTATCCTTGCTTACTCTGTGAATTTCAGTTTTTCTTACTCGTTTTTCTGCATGAGATTCAAACTAATTTGGGTGTTGTTCATCATATAAATAGATATGTATCAGAGTATTGTTATTCATATGTATTTCTTCATTCAGGAGGTTTTATCAAAGAGTATCAGGACGACTGGTGCTTTAAAAAAGAAAACTGCACATTGTGTGGCCATGGTTAAATGTAAATAAATGGTAGAACTGACCAAAAGAGTTGACAAAGTTTGCAATAAACAATTCCAATAACAATAATAAAAATGTAAAAATAATATAAAGCAAGCAAACAATATATGTAAGGCAAATTAACAGTAATAATGCAAAGCCACAGTAATATAGCGAAAAGTTCACAAACTAAGAACTGAGCAGATTTTGGATAAACTGTTTTATAGAAATAAAGTGTAGCTGCTGACACTTGAGTTTGTACACAGGTGATCCCATTATTGAATTAAGTAGACTATATGACATAGAGGAAATGCTGATGACTAACGATCGTTATTTCTAGTCTATCCTCTATTACTATACAGACTGCTATTCTCTACACTATTCAGTATACTATTTCTATATTCAGATCACTAAACGGGTTACTTGTCAAGCAAGTATTACCAAAAAAGTACTATTAGTGCGAATGATATTTTAAGGCATCTGACACCACCATTGTTCAACAGCGTACTATAGTTGTATCTGTGATTACAAAGTCTCTACTACAATGATCATTACAAAATTGCCAATGAGTGTTCGTTGACATCACAAAATAAACAAATATAGCATTCTGACTTCAAGTCAAGACAGACCAGGACCGAGTCAGATGAGACCGAGAAACAGCCTATTTTATTGGATAGGAAGAAATCCCAGCATTCATTTCTGTACTTCTGTCTATAAATTGAGGAGGGAAAAATGTTTTGCAGTCATTCCAATGGGAGTTGAAACCAACAAAAGCTATGACATGTATCAAAATTTGTGATGTGGCGAGACAACCACACTCTACACACTTTCCTTCCAATCACTGCTATAAACAATAGAAGTGAGCAAGAACATTATAACTATGTATATGCGACAGAGTTAAATGTCAGTCTGTGCCAAACAGCTTCACTTTAGCTCCTTTGCCATAGCAACAGACCTAATATTTTTGATCAGAGCTCATATTAGTTGTAAGAAAGATACACATTAAAAGTGAGACAAGATATTGTAAAGTTATTGAGTGATAAAGATTAGAGAAATTGAAAAATTAACAAGATATGAACAAGAAAGACAATTATCTTTTAAGAATATCAAAAAAAGAGAAATTTGCAAGAAATGGAAAATAAGAAAATAGACAGACTAGTTTTAAAGTAATTATTAAAAAGCTGGTATTGTCAATAAAAAAAGAGCCATCATATGTGGGTCTAAGTTAAGTTCTCCCAGCATATGGGGGTCTGTTAAGTTCTCCCATCATATGGAGGTCTAAGTTATGTTCTCCCATCATATGGGGGTCTAAGTTCGGTTCTCCCATCATTTGGGGGTCTAAGCAAAGTTCCCCCATCATATGGGGGTCTAAGTTATGTTCTCCCATCATATGGGGGTCTAAGTTCGGTTCTCCCATCATATGGGGGTCTAAGCAAAGTTCATGGGGGTCTTCTCCCATCATTTGGGGTCTATTTGGGGGCAAAGTTCCCCCATCATATGGGGGGGGGTCTAAGTTATGTTCTCCCATCATATGGGGCTCATTTGGGGGTTATGTTCTCCCATCATATGGGGGTCTAAGTTATGTTCTCCCATCATATGGGGGTCTAAGTTATGTTCTCCCATCATGTTGCATCATTACTAAATGTGGATTCTGACATATCTGGGCTGCAGCTGCACTTTCCAGCCTTGACAGAGTTTAGAAATATTTACACAGCTGTGTGGGAGATGATTATTTTCTAATATCCCATGCATTGTGATAGGTCCTGAGCTAGCATCTTATCTACAGTCACTTTCTCACAGACGTGATGTGACTTCCCTCTGTCTTTTCTACAAATATTTTCATGGTAACTGCTCTTACAAGCTATTTTCCCCAATGCCCCAACTGCATGAATTTAGGCATGCTACTAGGTTGGTATCTCAGTCCCACCCTTTCACTGTCGAAACAATTAAATATAACCACCTCTTCTACTCCAACAGCTTCTTCTCTTGTACTTCTCGCCAACTTCCTTCCTTCTACTTGCTTCCCTGATAGCTATAAGCTTCAAATATTCAAATGTAATGTCAATCAACATCTTCTGATGCCTTGATCCTGATTCTGGTCCTTCTCTATATCCTTTCCTCAAACACCCCTCTTTACTCTTGCTCTCACTCTCTGTAATGCCTTGCATGCTAGAGGCACTCCCATCTTGCTTGGGGTGAAATGCTTAAAAAAATTATCACAAGCCTACCACTACTTCCATGTTAAATGTTCAGATGAGTTCCTTTTTTTTTTTAAAGCAAATCACCCCAAGCAAGGCAGGAGTGCCACTAGCATGCAAGAGGTTACAGAGAGTGAAAGTCAGAGTAACGAGTAGTGTTTGAGAAACGTATAAAGAGAAGAACAAGGACCAAGGTCAAGGCATCAGAAGATGTCGATTGACATTACATTTGAATATTTGAAGATTATAGCTATCAGGGAAGCAAGTGATAGGAAGGGAGATCCACTGACGGGAGGTGCAAGATAAGAAGCTGCTGGAGTAGTAGAGATGGTTATATTTAGCCATTTTGACAGTGAAAGGGTTGGACCGAGATGCTAACCTAGTAG